GGAACGAAATGAAATGGGGATTTGGGTGATAAGAGTAGAAGAGAAGAATAGAATAGAAGGAATAGAAGTGAAGAAAGAGAGATTTGACCAGGTGGATAGACATACATAGTAGCAAGACCAATATGGTGGTTGACCTGACGTGTTAGCAAGACAGGCATGGTAACTCTGACCGGCACGACAGCAATACTACTTGATGACGAGACCAATACCAATCAGCCTGGCACAATGGCTAGGCTGTCGTGGCGGCAAGATGGGCACGGTAACTCAGACCGGCATGGCAGCAATATTGCTAGATGACGGGACTACCATGACAGTGTTAATCTTAACCTCCCTTGGTAAAATGAGAAAGGAAGAAGAAAGAAGAGAGCGATGAAAGAGAGAGGGGAAAGAGAAGAGACGAGGGAGAAGATATAAAATAGAAGGAGAATGAGAAAGAAGATATAAAGAGGAGAAATAGAGAAAAGAAGAAGAAGAGAAGAAGGGGAAAGAAGAAAGAAAAGAGAGAAAAGAGGGAAGAGAGGAAGGGAAGAGAGACGAGAGAAAGAGAATCAGAAGAGAGAAGAGAGAAGAAACAGAAGTGAAGATGAGAGTTGAAGGAAGAGGGAGAAAGAAGAGAGAGAAGGGAGGAATAGAGAGAAAAAAAGTCAAAAGCATGGACGACGATGGGGTTCTGCCGTCCATGACAAAGGAGAGAGAAGAGAAAGAAAACATGGATGGTGATGGGCTTCTGCCGTCCATGATAAAGGAGAGAGAAGAGAAGGAAACATGGACGGTAATGGACTTTCGCCGTTCGTGATTGAGGAGAGAGAAAAAGAAAGAAACATGGACGGCGATGGGGTTCCATCGTTCATGCTAGAGGAGAGAGAAGAGAGAAGAAAACATAAATGGCCATGAGGCTCCGCCGCTCATGACTAAGGAGAGAGAAGAAGAAAAGAGAACCTAGACGACGATGAGGTCACGCCACTTTGGGAAAGGGGCCTGTTCATTGTCTTTGTCAGAGAATAGAGGGAGAAATGTAGTGCGCGGCGATGAGCATCGCCATGCGCGTATGGAAATAAGGGAATCTGGTTAGAGACGCGGCCCGCCACTCAGGTTGAGGCCCGGTTCACTGTGCATGCTCCAGAAGAAGGAGGACATCATGCCCGACGGTAGGCATCGCCATGCATGAATGGAGAAGAGACAGAAAGAAGAGAACAGGGAAAAAGAAAAAAGAGAGAATTAAGAAAGAGAAGAAAGAGAAAGGAAGGAAAGACAAGAAGAATAAGAAAGAGAGAAATAAGAAGAGGAAGAGAGAGAAAGAGACACGTGCAGCAATAAGTACTACCGTGCGTGTTTGAGGCTGAGAGGAAAGAGACAGAGAAAAGAAAGATATGAGAAAGAGAGACTGAGAAAAGAAAAAGAGGAGAGAGAAAGGAGGAGAAAGAGAAAAAAAGATGAGAGCGAAAGAGAGATGAGAGGAGGAGAGAGAAAGTTACCTTCATCGAAAGATACTAGACTTTTTCTTCTCTCTCCTCTCTCTATCCCTTGGACGTGACCCTCAATCAAAGCGAAATCTCAATTTTCATTAATCAGACTGAAGGTCCATTTACAATTAGGTTTAGCATGTATTTATAGAATTGGGCCCAAACACGGGTGGATGCCCAAAATCTAGACTAATTGATGATAATTACAATTTATTTGAATTAAAGAAAAATCTAAAAATGGATGAAAAATGACGGTTTTGCCCCTGCCCAACAATACATGGATTTCCAAAACAGTCCCTACTGCTGCCCTAGAATGTGCGTGATCTTCCATGGATGATTTGGGGTTACTTCAGTGCTCGTTTGGCTGAAAGATTATTACTTTCTCATTTGGCTCAGCATGACGATCGATTTGATGCCAACTTCAAGTCACATATAGCGTTTTTAAGCTACGATCACACAACTCGAAATCTGTATGAATTTTGAAAACATCCGATCAATAGTGTGTTTGTTTCTTGATGTATTTATTTGATTTTTCAACTGAATCGTATTCAGCATTCTGTCACGATTGCGTTGCAACAAACGCAACCCGATTTCGTGCAATCTTGGGTTTTTGACCGGAATTTGGAATTTCGGTGGCCAAAATTTATAGTAACTTTATCAGCTTCAAGCGTGAAATTCGATTGTTCATCACATGCGAGGTTCGGCCTAGATGTAGACCCATATCTTATGCACGCGATGGAACTAGTCTCGCGTCAATCCGATGCACGAGCGCCGTGAAATGGCCGCTCGAGGGAGAGGCGTTGCTGCTGAATTTCCTGAAAATTTTGTCGTGAATCGTCATCTTCTCTCTAGCTTTTCTCCCCACTCAAGCATCATCACGGAGCCATATATCAAAACGCTCGTCTTGACGAGATGAACACGCTCGCAAAATTTGAGCGCGACTTGACTCGTAACAAGGGAGATATGAGTCTCTAAAGTTGCTGCTTGTGACTGTGCAAACCAATCTCCTTTAATGGAGATTGGTGAAGGGAGGTCTCAAATGAATAGCGTGCGGCTTACCCCTGTTTAATATTTCACCCATAATTTTGTCTTGACACGTCTTTTTAAGACGAAACTTGAGCCCTAATGGTTTGCGACCGTGTCGGATCCAATGGCGGTGGTCCCAGAGCTGTTTGATGCACCAAAAATAGCAAGTGGCCTTTTGGAGTCCTTAGGAAGATTTTTACCTGTTTTGGGGCAATTCTGAAACTGTCGAAAATTACACTGTATGTCAGGGCTTTATTGACTGGTTTCTCTTTTATTCTGCATCGGGGACACAAAGTGCTGAAAAATATCTTCCAACAATGATGAACAATAACAATGGATGGGCACCGCAACAATCTCGGAACAATATCCAAACCCCAAATGGGTAATGGCATGGCCATGGGTAACAATGGACCCAACATGTCTAATATTATCATCGGCATGATGCCGAATCAAATCAACACTTTCAAAGGCATAGCAAACATTATTCTCAAGCAAGTGGTACTAATGTCTTCAGGTTAAGGTCGAGTATGCAGCACATGCAGGAGATGGTGCCGGAAATTCTTCACCACTTCACCGAGAATGGAATGCTCAATGGGGAACCAGGCGACGTTGGCTTTTTTTTTTTTTGGTGTAAATTGGCGACATTGTTTTCCGATTGAAAAAGTAGAAGATTTTTCCTCATTCGGCGGCAGAATAAAATTAACTATAATATGTTGTACAGAAGAAACTAACACTAAGGTTTGATGATGACCCTTGCACGTGCATGTAAATCATTCATGAATGCATTGCATATTCATGGTATGGAGTGTACACGGCACGTGACATTGCCAGAACGATTGGGTTCTCTAATTCGTGTTTCGGTTTTTCCACTATTTGGCAGTTTTGAGGTTTTTGCCAGTTCTAACTGTGTCATTTTATATGTTATAGTGATCAACTTCAGTAAAGTTTGTATTTCCAAAAGCTTTTCTCGTAAACAAAAGTCTTATCTTTCCATTCCTTGGACTTAAATCTCTCCCTCTCTCACACATGTCCCTCATTCCCTTTCTATTTTGGACCTAAAATCACTCTTTCTATCTCTATGAAGGGTAGGAATCAAGGGTCGTACGTCATGTTTTTTCTATATTTCTTCTTGAACTAAAATCTCTCTTTGAAATGAGTTTGACAGAGAGAGCAGGTGAGGGAGAGTTTGGTTATTGAGATTTGAGCCCAATCCAACGGTAGAGGGCTAAAACCACCTCAAAACTGTGTATTGTAAATATAAAGGGTCATTACCCTAAAAAATATTGAATGAGTATGTTCATGTTGATACTCTAAAAAATGTAGTGTAGAGTCCCTATGTAGAAGAGTCTAGAGATTTGTCAAGATGAGAGTTAATATGCAAGTATCTAGAGGGATGTGGAGACCATGTTACTGAAACCCCTAATCAATTTTAAAAACGGGGAGGGCTTGTCTCCCCTACTGCATTGCCCAAAAACAAAACAAAAAAGAGCAAAGAGAAGAGGAAACAGAGAGTGTAGTGAAATAAAATGGAACCTGTTCGTCATTTCCAAAAGGACTGCAACATGCTTGACAGTAATGCAGTAGCCTTTTATTATTCAAGATTAATACACAGTAATGCAGTAGCCTTTTATTATGTCTTTTCCGTAATATTTCAATCAACAACTACCATTCACTCCATAATTTTTACGTGTATTTTTTGAAGTTCCGTTTTGTGAAGCTTTGCCCCGACTTGAAATACCCCTTTTTTTTCCTTTTCTTGGGGATTGTTAATATTTTGCGAGGCAATATATAAAAATGGAGAATATAGAGATACCGGAGCTAGCCGAAGGACCATACAAGTCACAGGAGCCGCACATATATAGCCATAAGAGGAGGGAACTTATAAACCAATATATGGAAAATTTATAAAGAAATACCCAATAGGTATGAAGTATTAAATATTTTGTTTACTCGAGATCACCGGAAGTCTCAGAATCCATTCTTGCCAAAAGGGTAGGGCAATACTAACTTGGCATTTAATTTCCCAAAACAAACTATTTCGAACTCAAAATCATTTGTTTTTCTTGGGTAGGCACCTTAAACTTAAATGAAAATAACAGTAAATAAAGTCGTTCAATTTTTCAGATCAAGCCAGTAACCTGTATGAATATATGTAACCGTATTATGGGCGTATGCATAGAACCGTATTATGGGGATTTCGAAATATAAGGAGGATGATACTGTAGAAGAGGAGATTCTATCATTCATTCATTAAATTAAATGACCAGCATGCTACGCATGTACGGCCACCATATGAAATTTTAGAATGAGAGAGCACACGCGCGGTCCCACTTAATGTAAAAGTAAAGAGATAGCACGACCACAACCAACATCAAATGCACATTGGAGAGAGACAAAGCTAAGGACTGAGAACACATTCACACACACAACAGAAGAGCAGCAGAGAGACAAAAGTTAAGCACGCAGAGAGAGAGGGGAGACCTAAGTAAACTAAAATGGGGAAGGGAGTATTCAAAAGAGAGGATCATCAACAACGGGCAAACCAGGCGGGACAGCAACAAGCAATCCATTTGCCCATTCACCATCAAGCACATCAACTGATGGTGCGAGGCCGGGGGATGCAACTGGTAGCGATGAGGGAGCAACCAAAGCAACAGGCAGTGGCGCTGAGGACCAGCCATCACCAGGAATCTGAGAGACGCCACCGCCGCCACCAGAACCAGCTCCAGCACCAGCGCCTGAGCCACTCCCACCGTTGGTGCCGCCACCACCACCATTGCCTGAACCACCGCCACCGCCACCACCTCCAATACTGCCATTGGGATCAGTCGCACTGCCATAGCCAGAACCGTTGCCGCTGCCAGAGCCGCTGCCAAAGCCAGTTCCGCCAGGCACACTGGTGCCACCACCGGCACCGGCACCGCCGCCAGCTCCACCGCCACCAGCAGACGTGTCAGAGAGCTTCCTACATTCCCCAATGCCAAGGAGGAAGCCGAGGATGAGAAGTGTGATTACAGGGGTTTTACACTTCACCATGATGAGAGAGATAGAGAGACTGTTTTAATATAGAGAGAGGGGAGAAGTGTTTGTGTTGGGGAGTGCAAGTGGTCATGGTGGCTTATATAGAATGAGACTGGGTGTGGTGATGAAGGGCTAATAAGTCGACTTAATTGGAGTTCTTCAATTTTTTCAGGACCAGTGGGTACGGTCCGATGCCATGCAGAACTTTTGAAGAGAGAGATGCGGAACTTTTGAGAGAGAGAGAGGGGGCACTGCAAGGATTGATTAATTCTGGCTGCCTTCATTAGAGCTCTTAAATTTTTGCTGCTCAATGCAAGGGCCATCGGTAGAGCCAGAGGAAGCATGAATGGAGCTACTTGTAAAATATCTGATCTCAGAGTGTTGATTTTTATGAGAAAATATATATATTCACAAGGCAAGAAACTTATTGTCATGAGGGGTCAGCACCGTCCAATGTAAGGTAACTTATCTTATTAAATTTATAAGGTAACTTATCTTATTAAATTTACTTTTAAATTTTATGATATTCATATGTCAGTTCTTTTCATTGGGTCGGTGATTCAATGAACCCATCGCGTCCCTACCCATTTTATTAAGAAGCCGGCTAAAAATACGTTACATGAGCAAACATACAACCATTGAAAAGGGAACAATAACAACATCAGATACAATGAAAAATGTTACAAATCTCGGTAACGAGCATGGCACACCTTGCTTCATTTGTAGTGACCGCTTCTTTGGCTAAAGAGTTGGCAACCATATTTGCTTCTCTATAAATGTGTTGGATTATCCATTGAGGGTCAACAATCATTTAGCGAAAGTTATGCGCAATCTCCAAAGGGCATGCCGGGACGACTCATAGAGTAAACAAGAACCTTTGGAGTCGCTTTCAATGACAAGAGATGCACAATTGAATTCCCTTGCTAGGGAAATACCTTTTTCAAGTGCAAGGAGTTCAGCTGTGTTATTCGAAATAATACCCAACGGGGTTGTAAATGCCGTAATAAATTTACCTGCATTATTCCTGAAATGCCCTCACTACTAGTGTTGCTCAGACTGTTCTTAGAGGCCCTATATATGTTAAGCTTAGAAAAGCCTAAAGGACAAAGCAGCTGCGTCTCATGGATGTAAACATTGCGAAGGAACCAATCTCTAATATAGGTTTAGGTTGGAAGCTATATTACATTCAAAAGAATAGAAGGCCCAGATATTAGCTTTTGCCATTGATCTAACCCAATCACAAATGCTTTAGTTGTTGCTCTCTAGGCGTAATACCTCCACTATGAATCCAAGAATTTTGCTCCATCCAAAGGCACCAAATAGTAATGGAAAACACACAATTTCAAACAAAATTCGTACCTATGGATCGCAATCTAAACTTGACCCATTTGGTCATCAAGGTCACAGTGGTCTATGGCAAGGGGAAGCATTTCCTACATCTACTCAGAGTGGATCTCCAAGTAAGTTTCAAAAACGTGCATTGCACAATAATGCTGTTTGAGAGCTCCTCCTCATAAAAACATAAGGGATAGATGGAGGCCTAAGCATGGCCCCTCGATTGATGTAGCGACGAAGTGGCTAACCTGGAATGTTAAGCTAGACTCTGAAATACGAATTCACATGGGCATCCCTCTAATATATTCTCAAGCTCTCCTAATCAAGAAAAGACCATCCACTGCATGAATCCAAACAAGTTGTTCCTCAAGTGGGTGAATAGGTAGAAGATAAGAAGAAACCTCTTGTGAGAGGAAGTCAAAAAATGATGAAAGAAGATTCCATCTGAGAGGTGCCCTATCCAAGAAATTAGATACCTTGGCAAAATTGAAGAGCCAGAAGCTAAGATAACATATGTGCCATAAATCTCCAACAATGATTATTCTGATAACTATGGGTTCGTCCATAAATCTATTTGCCCATCAAACATTTGATTGCAACCTAGTGATGCCCAAACTATACCTCTCCATGCATGCAAGAACATTTGGTCAATGTAAAAAACATCGAATGTCAATTTTGTAAGGTGGTCTGATGTTTCATGTTGGGAACAACATTAGACCAACCTACACTTTTTAATCGGTCTAATACTTAATTAAAACATCAAACCATCTTAGACCTTCAAAGAAACACTGTATCATATTTTTAGTAACATGGTATGTATCTCATTGATGTGCATGTATTAGTAGTATTATCATGGTTACCTTAATATGCACTAATTAAAACCAATTAAGATTATACATGTATTAGTAGTTGGTAACATGGCTCCCTTAATATGCACCAATAAAAATTGCACAAATTACTGAAGTCAGATGTTGGAAATATCACAATTCCCTTAAACCTCATTTTTTAAAGGTTTCAAGCGATCTGATGTTTCGAACACTCGATAGACTAAAAAGTGTATGGTGGTTGTAGTTCATTGGTTTTGACATCGAACTCCTCACTCTGACTCAAGTCCTTGGTGAGCTAGTTGATAAGTTCATTACCCAATGGAGAGAGCTGGCAATCGATCATGCCACTTTCATGACTGAAAGAGAAGCAGTTCAGACCTGCATACGAAATATGCTGCCCGAGATTACCTAGCATGTTGAGGCTTCCAATCCACCCTCCATGTCAGAGCTCATCTCTAAAGAAGTTCGTATAGAAGGTCTTTCCAACCACCATGGCGGATCTCATCAAACAACCCTCTAGCTCGGGAAACAACTGGGGCAATGGCAATTCTCACTCCATCAATTGTGGCAACCAACAAAAAGCGGTGATTAGTGTTGCCGTCACCTTGACTGACACTAAGAAAGCCGCCCCTCAAACCTTGAACCTCTCTAACGCACAGACACCTTGGGCTGGAGGAAAGAAGCAGTTGTCCTATAACAAGGTCCTGTGTCCTAAAAATGTAAATCGAAGTGAATACTGGATCCAGCACCAGAACAAGGTGTACCCCTTCGAAAAGGAGTGGGTTCCTGTGCTGCTTCGATTACTACTAGAGTAAAAAATTATCCAGCTACCAAAGGTGACAACCTTAGATCAAGATGGACAGGAGACACACGAGAGGTACTGCACTTATCACAGGAGAATAGGCCATTGTTGGAAGATATTTTTTATCATCATGGCGCCCCGCTCAATTAAAGCCTAGCAACTAATGGAAATTTCGACAGTCTCAGAATAGCCCTATAACTAGTCAAGATCTTCACAATAACTCTCAAAATCCTCATGTCAATTTTTGTCGTAGTCCAACATGTCTAAGGTAATGCAGACTGAGAAATAGTTCTGGTAGAATTAGCCTCTAGCACCCCAAAACGGACCCTATAACTAGAGCTATATTTTAAGTGTCTCAATTTGCTATGGGACCACCACCATTGGATCCGACACAATTGAAAACCCTCACGGGTCAAATTTCAGCCTAAACAGACATCTCGAGAAGAAGTCATAGGTAAAAAAGCGAAACAAGGGGAGCCGCATGCTATTCCCGTGCGTCCACCCTGCAACTAGGCTCCATTAAAGGGATATTCACGAACAGTAACATGTGACACTTGTATCTCCGTCATTCGGGATTGGATCGCAATCAAACTTGTTGGAGTGTGTTCGTCTCTTTGAGATGAGCATTTCAATATGTGGTACGTCGCTCTTTGATGCTCAAGCGCGTAGAAAAGCTTGAGAGAAGCTACTAATCCGTGAAGAAAGTGCAGGAAAATCAACAGCATCGTCGAGCAGCTAAATCACGTCGCTCACGAGCCCGGTTGATGCAAAACTAATTTCATCGTGTGTGTAAGGTCTCGGGCTATCTCCGACCCGAACCTTGTACAAGATGAACGGTCGGATTCTGCACACGAACCCGATGAAGTGACTGCGAATTCCGTCGCCAGAATTTCAAAGCTGAAAAATCTTTGTCCGGGCACTGAATCGAGCTGCATCTATTACCCCACGATCGTGACGGCATGCTCAGTGTGATCCAGGCAAGAAATCACATAAAAACATCAAGGAATGAGCACACTATCGATCCGAAGTTTCAAGATTTATTCAAATTTCAAGTCACATGATCATTCCCTAAAAACACGATCCAAACTCGAAGTTGATATCAAATTGATCGCCATGCTGAGCCCTATAAGAAAATAATCATCTCTCGATCAGCCGGGCATCTAAACGACCTCGAATCATCTACGAAAAATCATGCATGTTTTAGGGCAACACAGGGACTGTTATGAAATTTCACAACTTGTTAGGAAGGGGCAAATCTGTCATTTTGCACCCTATTTTCTAATTCCTTTTAATTCCTTTTAATCTTAATTGTCAGCAATTCGGGTTACTTTTGATCATCCACCCATGTTTAGGGAAAATTCTATATATATCGTATTATCATTGTACGTAAAAAGGGCTTGAAGTCTTCACAAAAGAGAGAGTTTTTACTTAATAAAGTTTCTCTTTCTTCTCATTGTTGGGTCACAATTGAAGAGAGAGAGTGAGAAGAGAGAAACTATTGGACTGATACCCTTAGGCTCAAGGTAAATCTTCCCTCTCTTATTTTTCTTTTCTTCTTCTCTCTCTTCCTCTCCTGCTTCTTCCGCTTCCTCGTTTGAGCTCCCCTCAAAGGTCGGCCATGCACGGTAGTCCCAGTGCCATGCATGCCTTTCTTGTGGTCTCACAGGTCGCGCTTGACGATGACAGTGCCATGCGCGAGCCTCCCTCTCCTTCTATTCGTTCATCTCTGTCCTTTAGTAAGGTATGCAGACGGCGCTGCTCATCACCATCTGTAGACATATCCTAGACTCCTCAGTGAAGAGCACAGACGGCGAAACCCACTTCCGCCGGTAGGGGTCTCCCCCTGTTGCGCGCTTATCCTAGATGGTGATGCCTATTGCAGACAACGATGCCTATCGCAGACGGCGATGCCTATCACTGCTCGCGAGAGGTCTCTGCAATACCTATCGTCGTCCGCGAGCTTCCTTTGCGTGCACGGTGCCTATTGCTATCTGCGAGCCTCCTTCATGCGTTCGGTGCTCATTGTCGTTCCTCTTGCATCCCATGCCTAT